AACAGGAAATGATAATGGTCGTAGCGATGATAATGATAACAATGATAAGGATAATAATAGTGATATTTAAAAAATTACACCAAATGAAATAAAATGATGGTAATGATGACATTAACAATAATAATAATAGCAATAATGATAAAGATAATTTAAGAAATGATGATATATACTAATAAAATAATAGTGATAATGATAATAACAACAATGATAGTAATAATAATTATTATATGGAAATGAAAGCACATTAAGAAAAACAATCATTATTATCATTATCACTGATAGTAATGTTAATCATGATAATGATGATAATACTAGCAATGATAGCAATATCCACTTGTGCCACAAAAGCAGAACCCAGAGCCCCCACCCANTGTTGTGGTGTGCCCGCACGAGTGTGTATGCCTGCGTGTCGTGTGCCCCGCACGTGTGTAATGCGCTGCCTTGTGTTGTGTGTGTGTGCCTGCATGTGTGTGTGTGTGTGTGCCTGTGTGTGTGTGTGCCTGCGTGTTGTGTGCCCAGCACGTGTGTGTATGCCTGCGTGGTGTGTGTGTTGTGTGTGTGCCTGCGTGTTGTGTGTGTGCCCACAAGTGTGTGTATGCCTGCGTGTGTGTTGTGGCCTGCGTGTGTGTATGCCTGTGGGTGTGTGTGGTGTGGTGTAAATATATATGTGTATGCCGGTGTGTGTGTGTGCCCGCATGTGTAGTGCTAATGCTGCATGTGTGTGTGTGTGCCTGCATGTGTGTGTGTGCCCGCACATGTGTGTAATGCCTGCGTGTGTGTTGTGTCCCGCACATGTGTGTACCGCGTGTTGTGTTGTGTTGTGCCTGCGTGTGTGTATATGTGTGCCCGCACATGTGTGTATGCCTGCGTGTGTGTGCCCGCACGTGTGTGATGCCTGCGTGTGTGGGGTGCCCGCACGTGTGTGTGTGTCTGCGTGTGCGTATGCCTGCGTGTGTGTGTGTGTGTGCCTGCAGTGTGGGGTGTGTGCCCACACGTGTGTGTATGCCTGCCGTGTTGTGTGTGGTATGCCTGCGTGTGTGTGTGTGTGTATGTATGCCTGCGTGTGTGTGTATGTGTATGCCTGCGTGTGTGTGTGTGCCTGCATGTGTGTGTGTGTGTGTGCGTGTGTGTGTGTGTGCCTGCGTGTGTGTGTGTGTGTGCCTGCGTGTGTGTGTGTGTGCCTGCGTGTTTGTGCGTGCCCGCACGTGTGTGTATGCCTGCATGTGTGTGTGTGTGCCTGCGTGTGGTGCGTGCCCGCACGTGGTGTATGCCTGCATGTGTTGTGTGTGCCTTGCCGCGTGTGTGTGCGTGCCCGCACGTGTGTGTTATGCCTGCATGTGTGTGTGTGTGCCCGCGTGTGTGTGTGCCCGCGTGTGTGTGTGCCCGCACGTGTGTGTATGTCTGCATGTGTGTGTGTGTGCCCGCGTGTGTGTGTGGTGTGCCTGTGTGTGTGTGTGTGTGCTGCGTGTGTGTGTCTGTGTGCTTGCGTGGTGTGTGTGTGTGCCCCGCACGTGTGTGTATGCCTGTGTGTGTGTGTGTGCATGCGTGTGGTGTGGTGTGTGTGTGTGTGTGTGTGTGTGTGTGGTGGTGTGTGTGTGTGTGGTGTGTGTGTGTGTGTGTGTGTGTGTATGTATGCCTGCGTGGTGTGAGGTGTGTGTGTGTATGCCTGAAGTTTGTGTGTGTGTGTGTGTGCCTGCGTGTGTGTGTGGTGTGTGTGCCTGCGTGTGTGTGTGTGTTGTGTGTGTTGGGTGTGTGTGTGTGTGTGTGGTGTGTGTGTGTGGTAGTTATGTATGCCTGCGTGTGTGTTGACTGTGTGTGTGTGTATGCCTTGCGTTTGTGTGTGTGTGCTGCGTGTGTATGGTGTGTGTGTATGCATGTGTGTGTGTGTGTGTGCCAGCGGTGTGTGTGTTTGTGCCTGTGTGTGTGTGTGTGGTGCGCTGCGTGTGTGTGTGTGTGCCTGCGTGTGTGTGGTGTGTGTGTGTGCCTGCGTGTGTGTGTCTGTGTGTGTGCATGTGTGGTGTGTGCCTGCGTGTGTGTGGTGTGTGCCTGCGTGTGTGTGTGTTGTGCCTGCGTGTTGTTGTGTGTGTGTGCCTGCGTGTGTGTGTGTGCCTGCGTGTGTGTGTGTGTGTGCCTGCATGTGTGGCGTGTGCCTGCGTGTGTGGTGTGTCTGTGCCTGCGTGTGTGTGTGTGTGTGCCTGCGTGTGTGTGTATGTGTGCCTGCGTGGTGTGTGTGTGTGTGTCTGCGGTGTGTGTGTGTGCCTGCGTGTGTGTGCCTGGGTGTGTGTGTGTGTGCCTGCGTGTGTATGTGTGTGTGTGCCTGCGTGTGTTGTGGGCGTGTGTTGTATGTATGTATGCCTGCGTGTGTGTGAGTGTGTGTGTGTAGCCTGCGTGTGTGTGTGCCTGTGTTGTGTGTGTGCCTGTGCATGTGTGTGTGTGTGGTGTGTGTGTGTGTGTGTTGTGTGCATGCATGTGTTTAATGTGTGCCTGTGTGTGTGTTGTGTGCCTGCGTGTGTGTGTGTGCCTGTGTGTGTGTGTGTGCTTGCGTGTGTGTGTGTGTGTGTGTGCCTGCGTGTGTGTGTGTGTGTGTGCCTGCCCGTGTGTGTGTGTGTGTGTGGTGCCTGCAAATGTGTGTGTGTGTGTGCCTGCGTGTGTGTGTGTGTGCCTGCGGGTGCTGCCGTGTGTGCCCCCGCACGTGTGTGTATGCCTGCGTGTGTGTGTGTGTGCCTGTGTGTGTGTGTGTGTGTGTGTGTTGCTGCGTTGTGTTTGTGGTGCCTGCATGTGTGTATGTGTGTGTGTGTGTGCCTGCGTGTGTGTGTGTGTGTGTGGTGCTGCGTGTGTGGTGTGCCCGCACATGTGTGTATGCCTGTGTGGTGTGTGTGTGTGTGTGTGTGCCCACACGTGTGTGTATGCCTGCGTGTGTGTGCCCACACGGTGTGTATGCGCTGCGTGGTGTGTGCCCATGCCTGTATGTGCGTGTGTGTTGCCCTACACGTGTGTGTTATCCTGCGTGTGTGTGCCCAAGTGTGTGTAATGCCTGTGGTGTGTGTATGTGTGTGTGTGTGTGTGTGCCTGCGTGTGTGTGTGTGCCCGCACGTGTGTGTATGCCTGCGTGTGTGTGTGTGTGTGCTTGCGTGTGTGTGCCCACACGTGTGTGTATGCCTGCGTGTGTGTGTGTGTGCCGGCACATGTGTGTATGCCTGCGTGTGTGTGTGTGTGCCTGCATGTGTGTGTGTGTGTGCCTGTGTGTGCCTGCGTGTGTGTGTGTGTGCCTGCGTGTGTGTGTGTGTGTGCCTGCGTGTGGTGTGTGTGTGGGCTGCATGTGTGTGTGTGTGTCCCTGCGTGTGTGCGTGTGTATGTGTGTAAGCCTGCGTGTGTGTGAATGTGTGTGTGTGTGTGCCTGTGTGTGTGTGTGTGTGTGTGCCTGCATGTGTGTGTGTGTGCCTGCGTGTGTGTGTGTGTGCCTGCATATGTGTGTATGCCTGCGTGTGTGTGTGTGTGCCTGCGTGTGTGTGTATGCCTGCGTGTGTGTGTGTGTGTGCCTGCATGTGTGTGTGTGTGTGTGTGTGTGCCTGCGTGTGTGTGTGTATGTATGTATGCCTGCGTGTGTGTGAGTGTGTGTGTGTATGCCTGCGTGTGTGTGTGTGTGCCTGCGTTTGTGTGTGTGTGTGTGTGCCTGGTGTGTGTGTGTGCCTGCGTGTGTGTGTGTGCCCACGTGTGTGTATGCCTGCGTGTGTGTGTGTGTGCCTGCGTGTGTGTGTTTGTGCCTGCGTGTGTGTGTTTGTGCCTGCGTGGTGTGTGTTGTGCTGCGTGTGTGTGTTGGTGTGTGTGTGTGTTGTGCCTGCGTGTGTGTGGTGTGTATGTATGTATGTGTGTGTGTGTGTGTATGTAGCCTGCGTGTGTGTGTGTGCCTGCGTGTGTGTGTGTGTGTGCCTGGTGTGTGTGTGTGTGTGTGTGTGCCTGCATGTGTGTGTGTGCCTGCGTGTGTGTGTGTGCCCACACATGTGTATATGCCTGCGTGTGTGTGTGTGTGCCTGCATGTGTGTGTGTGTGTGCCTGCGTGTGTGTGTGTGTGTGTGTGTGCCCGCACGTGTGTATGCCTGCGTGTGTGTGTGTGTGCCTATGTGTGTGTGTGTGTGCCTGCGTGTGTGTGTGTGTGCCTGCGTGTGTGTGTGTATGCCTGCGTGTGTTGTGTGCATGTAGTGTATGTATGTGCCGCGTTTGTGAGTGTGTGTGTGTGTGTATGCCTCCGCGCGCGCGCGCGCGCGTGTATAATATATATATATATGTGTGTGTGTGTGTGTGGTGTGTGTGTGTGTGTGGTGTGTGTGTGTGTGTGTCTGTGTGTGTAAGCGTGTGTGTGTGTGTATGTGTGTACAAATATATATGTGTGTATGCCTGCGTGTGTGTGTATGCCTGCATGTGTGTGTATATGCATGCGTGTGTGTGTGTGTGTGTGTGTGTGCGCATGTATGTGTTGTGTGTTTGTGTGTGTGTACGTGTGTGTATAAATATATATACACATGTATGTGTGTGTATGCCTGCGTGTGTGTGGGTATACCTTCTGGGGGGGGGGTGTATGCCTGCGTGTGTGTGTATGCCTGTGTGTGTACGTATGCCTGCATGTGTGTGTGTGTGTGTGTGTGTGCGTGTGTGTGTGTGCCTGCATGTGAGTGTGTGTGTGCCTGTCTCTGTGTGTGTGTGTGCCTGTGCGTGTGTGTGTGCCTGTGCGTGTGTGTGTGCCTGCGTGAGTGTGCGTGCCTGCCTGTGTGTGTATGTATACCGAGTGCCCAAGAGTGTGTAAAACTTTGCTATACTTACTCATGCATGAGTAGTTAGGTAATGCCTATGGATGCTAGCTAACTCTTAGTTGCACACTCATTTTAGTGGGTTGTGTATCAGTGGTTACAGTGATTCTTACAACGGCGGTGGGGGTTCGAATCCCTGTCGGAGAGCTTATATATTCATCATACCAACGCGGCCAGTGCATTATTCCATCTTTCATGTAAATAAATATATACATCTTCATCATCAGGGGGCTAATACCGACGGGGGTGCATGGCTGCATCCACCCTTTGCTTCCACCTTTTGGGGTCCCTCATGGCAAGCCGCCAGGCAGGGACTCGGCCCATCTCAAGCTCATCACAATAGGTTTGATCAATCTGCCCAAGCCACGACCTCCTAGGTCGTCCCACAAGCCTCCTCCACCCAGGGTTGTCTCTTGCAGAGACAACCAGGTGGACAGGATCATCCTGTGGGAAACGAGCCAGGTGGCCATATCGCCTGAGTTGACGATCACAGATTGTGCAGGTAACAGGTCTTGTGCCAGTCTCACATTGCAACTGTTGGTTGGACACATGGTCCCACCAACAGTACCCCATGATCCGGCGCAAGGACCTGTTACAAAAACCATCAAGACGAGACACCAAGGCACAGGATAACGTCCAGGTTTCATTACTATATAGCAAAACTGGCATTATCAGGGCCTTGAAAACGCGTAGCTTGGTTCTTCTGCACAGGTACCTGCATTTCCAAATACTCTTGTCAAAAGAGTTCATGACCCTTGTTGCCAGGCCAATCCGTCTGCTGACTTCTTGGTCTGAGAGCCCAGAGTTATGAACTACATTACTAAGCTAAGTAAAGCTCTCTTTGACTTCAATTTCCTCGCCGTAAGCACATGCCGACCGAACAGGTTCTCCTAGCAAGTCCCCAAAGTCAAGGATTTTGGTCTTGGTCCAGGAGACCTCTAGACCCAAGGACTTCGCTTCATTACTTAATGCATCCAGAGCCACCACTAAGGTTACCAAAGACTCAGATAGAATAGCAATATCATCGGCAAAGTCAAGGTCTGTAACCTTGATGTTGACCAGTGTTGCTCCACAATGACTTGGAACAGTAGCTCTGCCCAGTATCCAGTCCCCTGCAAGTACTGAAAGGTGTTGGTGCAAGGATTCCCGATGCACCGTATCGAATGCCTTCTTGAGGTCGATGTAGGGTGCAAGCAGCCCACTAATGACGGCGCTCTGCAATGACTAAGTGCAAGGATATGGTCTATTGTGGACTTCACAGGAGTGAATCCAGATTGCTCGGGCCTCTGATGCCTCAGTAGGTGGTCTCTGATATGTCTCAGAAGAATTTGGGCAAGAACCTTTCCTGATATACTGAGCAGTGTGATGCCTCGGTGATTGCTGCAGTCCATCGGTCCCCTTTCCCTTCCAGAGAAGGATGACCACACCCCTTAACAGGTCAGGGGGAACGGTACTGGACCGCCAGATGGCAGCCAGGACAGCATGAAACCCACACGCCATAGGTTCACCACCAGTCTTTGACAGTTCAGCTGGGATGCTGCAAATACCTGCTGCTTTCCCACTCTTCAGCTTGGAGATTGCCTCCCTAACTTCAGTTAGAGAGGGTGGATCCTCACTGATGGGTGGGTCCGGCAACGGAATCACGGCACTCCCTGCATCCAAGTTAACTGTTGGGTCAATCTGGTACAACTCAAAATACTTAGCCTAACGCTCCCGCACCACAAAAGGATCTGAGACGATCTGGCCATTTACTAAGCGAACAGCTGTCACCTGAGAAGAGGGCTTGGATTTCAGCTTTCTCAGGGCTTGGTATGCAGGACGAAGGTCATTTACTAAGAAATGACCTTCGACCTCTTCAGCAAGACCTATTAAAATATTCCTTGTTCCTTCTAAACAGAGACCGAGTTCTACGCACCTGAGAACGGTGTAAATCTCGATCCCCTGTCAAACGAGCCGCACGGCAAGCATCTGCGGCTTCTAGTGTATCCTGTGAGATAAAATTCTGTATTGTCCAAGGGCGTTCACCAATCGACTCTTGGGCTGCATCAAGCGTTTTGCACTTGAAGGTGTCCCATAGAAGTACAGGGTCCGTCAGCTTGTCGAAAACTGTGAAACGACCAGAGATTGCCTCAGCAAACCCCCGAGCACATTCCTCCTTCAGCCTGTTCAGATGGAACACCCTAGGGTGATCATTGGACCACTGGGGAGTTTTGAAGTGGACCCGGAGGGTAGCCACAACCAATCAATGGTCAGTACCAGAGAACTCGGCACTCCTATACACCCTGCAGTTCTGGAGGATCCTCCAACGAATGCTAACGAGTATGTGGTCGATCTCATTACTGTACCATGTCCAACGATGTGGGTCTGGACGCTGGTACCAGGAGCCAGAAATCCTCAATTTCTGGGACCTTGCAAAGTCCCAGAAAAGGAGGCTAGTCTCGCTGCCGGTTTCAGCTCCTGAACCATGAGGATCGATAGACATCTCATAGCCAGCTCGATCACAGCCAGATACTGCATTGAAGTCACCCAGGACAATACGAATATCCCGCCAGTGATAGCTGTCTGCTACAGATGCAAGTTTGGTGTAAAACATCTCTTTCACGTTAAGTTTACAAACATCGGTAGGAGCGTACACAGTAATAAGAGACATGAAGACATGAAGTTTCAGTCTCAATACCATTATATGGAGTAACCTCCACCACTGAGGGCTGGAGCCTACTGATGACCTATGGCTACTCCCTGAAGATGGTGACCATCGCTGCGGCCTGACCAGTAATAGGAATAGCCACCTACATTGATCGTGCCGCTGCCAGGTCTTCTCACCTCCGAGAGAGTAGCCACCCCAACTCTCAGCCTCCCCAGTTCCTTCGATAGTGGAGGCCGATCATCCTGACGCAGGCTGGCGACTGCCAGAACGCAGGCCGGACGAGTAGCTCCTGTTCCCATCCTGCACCCCTGCATTTCCCTTCCCCCGGCATTAGTAATTACATAAGACGTTGCCGATGAGGTTATCTCTCTCTCTCTCTCTCTCTCTCTCTCTCTCTCTCTCTATATATATATATATATATATATATATATATATATATATATATAGATAGATAGATAGATAGATAGATAGATAGATAGATAGATAGATTATTAATATATATATACACATACATACATATATATACACGCACACACACACAAATATATATATATAATATATATATATATATATATATATATATATATATATATATATACGTAAAGGGAGAGTGAGATGTGTATATATACATATATATGTATTTATATATGTGTCTATGTATATATATATATATATATATATATATATATAATATATATGTGTGTGTGTGTGTGTGTGTGTGTGTGTGTGTGTGTGTTTGTGTTGTAGAGACTTATTTTTGTTACACGAACGCGCCCCGGATTCATGGATTCGCTTACGCGAACGGGTGGTCGTGTTGCCCACTTGGGGTGTTCACTTTTTATTTTAATGGCTTTTTCTGATGCCCTTTTGGCAAGCCCTTGCCCTTTTTATAAACGCCTCACCTCCAGAAGTATGTATATTAAGTTTGGGGTCCGAGAGGAGTGCATTTAACCCACACTCAAACCTCGTACAATTTGGGTACTTGGCAACCCCTGCCGTGACGCGCCATGGAGTCGCCACAGAGGGCAGTTGGCGGGTGATCTTGACTGTGGAGAGGTGTGAGTGTGGGCTGGGGTTGACTCCTGATTTTCTGATTTTCGCTTCTCTGTGATATTTTGTGATATACTGCGGTGCTACCTTGTTGCCAGTGGTTTCCCGTGCCTCATCTGTGATTTCGAGGCTATAGTAGCAGTAGTGCTTCGTGAATAAAGCCGTGCACATGAACAGTATTTTGTATCCACTCCTGTAGGAGGTAGAAATGGCCGGCTTTTCCCCATGCCCACGGCCACATCTTACTCACGGTTCGAGGGTTACTCGTCAGCTCCTGTAGTAGGGTAAGTGTCAGTGCCCCCACACTTTAACCACACTA